CACACACGCACACACACACACACACATACACACACATACATACACACACTATAACTATAAAACATGTATATTGGATTTTAAAACTTTGCGAGTCACGTAGTCAAGTAGATTATTATTGGCATAGTTTGATAGAAAGTTCTGGAGCAAGTTATCGGAGCTGATGATATAATGACTGAAAGCTTTGTGGATCTAAAAGCGCGAAAATCGACCACGACAGTGAATGGGGGAAAACGTCCGTGTAAGGAGCATTCTAGAAAAAAAAAATGCTTACAGCCGTCATTTTTCAAAATTAATTATGTCAGGGAGAAAGAAACCGTAGGTGGAGCAGGCTGTGCTCTAATACTAATACCCAGTCCATAATGCCAGTCTCAATTTGATTAGTTTAATTCCGTTGGGGCCGGCCAGTTTTTTCCCTCAAGTAAAGCCAAAAGTCACCATTTGACACGATACGATCGATTCGACTCACGATCTTGAGGAGTAAACATGTTTGATCTTGAAGGTCACAGTCGCATTAAGTTGAATCCGGAATTAATATCATCGTGCCAAACAAAGTAGCTTGTGCCCTTCCATGAAAGAAAAATCTGGCTGGACCCGGCCGATTCAAATAAATCAAACTGACAGTGTGAGCTGTGTATAAATTCCAGCTTCAGAAGACTGATGTAGTTTCAAACGCAAGATCTCGGATATCATGGTTACATCTCGCTAAGTGGTTTAACACTATCCGTACTCCCTGGGGTCGTTTTGTATCCCAGGGGTTGTATTCTTCACGTTTTAGAAAACTTCTAGTATACGAAGATCTCGTTGAAACTTTCAGTATTTCTAAAAAAAACCATTTTGTTTGACAGACTGCCATGCAAAGCGAACGGATCGGATTAACCAGTAAATGTCTCCTTCGAAAGTGATGGCACAGAGTTCCCCATGTCGTATGGATACGACATTAAAACGCGACGTACGGATAGGTTTAATGTTTCTCACTTTCCCCAAGAGGCGAAGCAGAAGACATTATGTTTATGGTGTGTAGCCAATTTCCAGCCGTTTCCAGCCAATACACCAGTGAGGTAAATGACCGCCAGAAGTCTCCATTCGGAACAGTTGCGCACGTTATTAAAGGTCCCTTGGTGGTCTAAAGTCGATAAGAGTAGGTCTTGGCCTCCACCCGGGCAAAATTCTAAATTTCCTACCAACTGAAAAAGTTTAATGTGTCCCGCGCGCTCATGTGACCTTATACTGTTGCGAGCGCCGTAAAACACCTAACACCCCCCAAAAACAACAACAAAAAAACAACAAAAAACCCATAAAAAAATAAA